AAGAAACGGAAAACAGTTTCGTCTCAATTCCTTCTTTCCCTCTTTAAGTTCATACTTCTCCTGCATGTTTTCACTTTCTCTCACTTTCTCTCCCTTATGATTTTTCCTTTCCGCAGCCATCAGCTCTCAAATTCCTCGCTGCCACCCCTCTTTGGTCCTCGTCCCTTACCTCGCTCGATGATATCTTCCCCTGGCCTTCGCGTACCAGAACCTTTGACAAATACAATCCCTACCTCACGTACCTCCTGGCGAGAAGTCCGCCAACCGTTTGAAACTTTGGACATGGTTCCTGACCTTTTCACCGTCCGCTTTGAATTGGACGTCAGTTTACTCGTCTATCAACCCCTGAACTACATCACGGTGACCTTAGACTGCCAACAGATCAACACCAAAGAATACACAGTCGATGACCTCAAAGATGTGATCTACTCTCGCTTAGGTCAGCACCGCACTGCCTTCTGGATGGCCCTACCCTCGACTGGTGACTCTCGAGTTTGGGAAGTTCCACACACTTGCACCCTCGAAGATCTCGTCCTCTATTTCATCAACTCACGACGGGTACGTCCACAGGGCCTCTCCGCTGAATATCCCCGGGAATCTGTCTTTTTCCTTATCGACCTCTCCACACAGTCGCTCCCCGTCTTCATGATGATGCCATTGGTCAACTTCGACTTCCATTGACTGCCTACCAGACCTATCGTGAGCTCCGACAGTTTTCTTAGTCTCACCTCACCTTCGGCATGGAGCTTAAAAGTTTGCCTCCCTTCGGGGAGGCGTGTGTGTGTAACCCTTGGAATCATAGGGATCCTTCGGATTGTTTTGAGCTTTTAGCAGGGGGTGCCAGGGACCATGCAAGTCTGGCACTAACAAAGACGCTTGCATTGGTCTGTGATATAGCTCCGGGACGCTGGAGCTACGTACCTGCTTTGAAATGAACCTACGTAGAGCACAAGCTGTCTACTTCGTTGTTTCCTTCAGTAAAGGGCTACTGCAGCGGCGATGCTTTTGGCTTCTCTGCACGCACGTCGTCACCTTGTCGTTCGTTCGATCGGCGTTTTCTTTTGGAGCTGATGGACCTCTACTTCCTTTCTAGGACCTCTACTTTCTAAGTCTCCTCACCTGATTTTTCAGGATTTGGGTTTCTTAGGCTGGCGTGTGGCACCGCTATCAAGTCAGTACGCATACCCATGAGTGTGTGTGTGTGCAACCCTTGTAGTCACAGGGATTCATTTGAAGTTTGAAGGATGACACTCACAAATCTTGAAGTGTACCACCTTGTTGCAGTTAAAGGAATGACACGCACAAATCTTAAAGTGTTTCATGATGTTGCAGTGCAACCTTTGGAGTCACAATCCTTTTTTTTTTGGGTTTTGTTTTGTTTTTTTTTGCTGCCTTGTGTCTTGTGGGCCCTCTAACCTATTGCGCAGACCTCCAACCTTGTCGCTATGGCCTCTTCCTATTTGTGGTGCCCTTCTAGTAGTTTATTTGCCGGTTGCCCTTAGGGCCGGCGCGTCCGCTCTGCTCGACTGGATGCATTCCTATCCAGTCTGCAGAGTTGGGGTGGGCACAGATGCTTGCTGCAAACGTGCTTGCTGTAAACATGCTCGCTGTAAACTTGGTACTTTGGCCTCCAAACTTGGGCGATGGCCTCCAACTTCTAGCGATGGCCCCTAATTTAGCTTTACCTTTACTTGCCCTGTTTCCTAAGGTTTTTTCACTTAGGCCGGCGTGTGGCACCGCATTCACATCAGTACGCGTAACCATAAGTGTGTAACCATTCAAATCACAGAAAAAACCCTTTGCGTTTGGAGCAGGGGACCAGGCCAGATACATCGTCCTGGTCAATGAAGCTGGCGATGTATCAGAGGATATGGAAATGGAACGCCATTTCCCCGTACCTGCTCCACTATTTAGGAAAACAGAAGGAAATGGTACTCGACACACAGTCTACTCTATAGGTTTGCAGGTAGGCCTCCAAACTTGTAATGTGGTCCTTCAACCTGGATTCGTTGGCCTCCACCCACTAGCATTGGCCTCACACCTTGGCTGTCTTGTATGTCTTGTGTTTCTTGTGCTTCTTGTCACCAACCTACTAGCGATGGCCCTCCAACCTGCCTTCGACGGCCTCCAACCTAAGGGCGAAGACCCCCAACTTTGACGGTTTTGCAGTTTCGGTTCTTGTCACCAACTTACTAGCGATGGCCCCTTAACCTGCCTTCGACGGCCTCCAACCTAAGTGAGAGGACCTCCAACTTTGACTGTTTTGCACTTTCGGGCCTCGTTTTACTCAGGCTTCTTTTTAAACTAGGTTGGCGCGTGGCACCGCATTCAGTTCCGCACACCAAATCATAAGTGTGTCTCTCGTAGTGAGAGCCCCCCGTCGAATGGGGGTTTGTCAAACGTATCCCCTGCCCGGATACAAAGCTGCTCACAGCGAGCGTAGGTGGCCTAGGCCGAGAGAACTCAGACTTTTGTCTCATTTTGGGAATTCCAACCTGGCTCATGCCTTTACGTGTAGCGGTCAAAGCAGCCAGCAAGTTTGGCGCGGCGTACGTGGCCGCAGCGGCCGAAGCTTGTTCAAGACTCGTTGGAGTCTGCCGAGCACTTAGCCCCCCCTTCCTCCCCCTTCCCTCCCCCCTTTCCTTCTGCCTTCTGGGGGTGTTCCTGAATGGAATACTCAGGATCACCCCTCTCTCTCATTGGTGTGTCCCTGGACGCTTGTTCGTAGCTGGGAACACCTGCCCTTTTTCCTTCTTTTTCCCTCTCTCTCTCTCCCTCTCTTTCTTTCTTTCTTTCTTTCTTTCCTCTCTTCACCTTCCTTCTTCCTTGGGTGTCCCTGGATGCTTTCGTCATAGCTGGGAGCCCTTCCTTTTTGGTGTGTCCTTGGACGCTTGTGTCATAGCTGGGAGCACCTTTGCGTCCTCCTTTCTCTCCTTCTCTTTTCTTCCTCCCCCTTCGCGCGCGGCGTGTCTACAGGCAAACTAGGCTTCTGCAACAGGTTTCTCAATGAGGTTTGGACTGTCATCAGTTTGTCCCCTTTCATTTGGTTCCCCTTTCATCGGCCCCCGCAGACGTCTTTCCTTCTTTTCTTTCATGTCTTTCTGCCTTCATGTCTCTTCATCCTCATCCTTTCTTTCTCTTGCGCGCACTTTCGCCCGGACCTTAGTTTGTACACATACACGCGCGCGTATTCTACTTACAACGAGGTTCAGGTGGCCCAGGTTTGTTACAATGAGGTTTGGTTCATCGGTTGTCCGTCTTCACTTGGTTCTTCTTCATCGGCGACCGCACACACTTTTCGTCTGTCTCGTCTCTTTCATGTTCATCTGTCTCTTTTGCGCGCGCGTGTGCCTTGCTTCCTTTCCAAGCAGGATGGAGGCCACACATGCCTCCCTTCGGGGAGGCGTGTGTGTGGAGCAGGGGACCAGGCCAGATACATCGTCGCCTGGTCAATGAAGCAGGCGATGTATCTGAGGATATGGAAATGGGACGCCGTTTCCACGTACCTGCTCCACTATTTAGGAAGAAATGGTACTCGACACACTTGTGTGTCGGTTGGCCTCCACCCACTAGCATTGGCCTCTAACCTTGGCTGTCTTGTGAGTCTTGCGTTTCTTGTGCTTCTTGTCGCCAACCTACTAGCGATGGCCCCCCAACCTGTCTTCGACGGCCTCCAACCTAAGGGCGAAGACCCCCAACTTTGACGGTTTTGCAGTTTCGGTTCTTGTCGCCAACTTACTATAGCGATGGCCCCTTAACCTGCCTTCGACGGCCTCCAACCTAAGTGAGAGGACCTCCAACTTTGACTGTTTTGCTGTCTTGTTTCTCGTCGCCGACCTACTAGCGATGGCCCCTCAACCTGCCTTCGATGGCCTCCAACCTAAGAGCGATGGCCTCCAACTTTCGTGCCCCGTTTTACTCAGGCTTCTTTTTTAACCTATAGGTTGGCGTGTGGCGCCGCATTCAGTTCCGTACACCAAATAATAAGTGTGCATCGTCGGGTCGTCGTGTCGTCGTCGCCTCGTCGTTAATTCTTGGAGGAGGTTTTGGATGGAAGCATGACGTGTCAGAGTCGTGTGAAATAGCGTGGAAAAGTGGAAACGAATGAGAAAGCGGCGCCCACAATGATCGCTGGGTTGTATCTAGTCTGTGGCACACTGTGTGGCGACCTGACGTGTGTAATGTCGCTGTGCCATTTGGTTTCACGCTGCCTTGGTGGAAAGTGCGTTTGCGTGAGTCCGTTCTGCTGGGGGCAGGGAGCCGCGCTGGTGTAAGCGCGGCGTGTCGCTAAGAAGCGAGAGGATTGGCGGGGTGAACGAGGCTTAGTCCAGCTTGGTGTTACATGGTTGTATCTAGTCTGTGGCGCGCTGTGTGACATGACACTATAGTCGCTGCGCCATGCAGTTTTGCGCGGCCTCGGTGGAAAGTGCGTTTGCCTAGTCCTTGCCATCAGGCGAAGGAATGCTTGCTGCGTGCTGGTGTAAACGCGGCGTGTTACTGGGGAGCAGGATGATTGGTGGTCTCGGCACTGTTGCATCTAGTCTGTGGCACCACAAGAGTGTTGCGCAAAATTATCCTGCAAGAGCTTTCCGCAAAAGTGACCGTCCCACAAGGGTCTCCCACAAGAGTGTCCCACAAGAGTGTCGCGCGAGAGTGTCCCACAAGATTGTCCCACAAGAGTGCCCCGCAAGAGTGTCGCGCGAGAGTCTCCCACAAGAGTGTCCCACAAGAGTGTCCCGCAAGAGTGTCGCACGAGAGTCTCCCACAAGAGTGTCCCACAAGAGTGCCCCGCAAGAGTGTCGCACGAGAGTGTCGCACGAGAGTCTCCCACAAGAGTGTCCCACAAGAGTGCCCCGCAAGAGTGTCGCACGAGAGTGTCCCACAAGAGCGTGAAACAATGTTAATGTTTGGTCGTTGTTTTTTTTGTGCGTGTGAAGTCGGGTCCATCTTGTTTCTGTCATGTGGCGCATAGCACCTGGGCAGCAGAGCAAATGCTTCAGGTCAGGATCACGTTTTGAAGACCAACGAGCCAAATTACAGGCAAGGCCAAACAAATGCATTTGGAGGGCAAGCGTTCAAGGAAGGCCAACGTTCCAGGCGGTGTTTAGAGTTCCCTTATGTGGCTGTGTGGTGAACAAACATGCAGTGCCAGGCCAAAGCCTTCTGCTAGTGGCCATCGCTATGCCAGTGCCGCATTGGCCTCCAAGTGAGCCAGAACGTGTTCTTATGAGTCACGTGTGAGCAGTGCGGCATACTTAGTACAGTAAGGGGCAGTAAGGGGGAGTTAAGCCCAAAATAGACCTTTCGCTTTCTTGAAGAAAGAAACACATACCAAAATATTTTATATACGATATATAAACAAAAGTCGGCCTTACGCCTTGGGTTTGACTACTTAATAGAAGCAAAACGGCTAAGCAAAGATATCAAAGAGTGCATGAAAAGGAATACCGTACATTTCTTGAACAAAAAAAACCCACGCGTTGAATTTCAAAGCACCTGAGCTGCGCCTGAGCTGTCAGTTGCGGATTGAACCGAGTTGTGTTTACAAATTGAGGTATACTGGTCGGGCTGTTGTTCGAACGGAGGATGACTTGTTCAAGCCTCGGCTGGCAAACTGCATTGGCATTTGGACAAATTATTGAATTGCACAGCTAGCCAATTTTGGCAACCATGAGGCTCTATTTGCGATCCTTGCCAACCTTTGAGGTGGGGAAAGCACAAATGTTGGCAACGAAGAGAGGGAGAAAAAAATGAAAGACCAATCTTGAATAGAATCCAATTGCGACCTTCGCCTCAGGATCGGTTGCGACCTTCCGATGCTGAGGCTCTTTTGTCTTTTCTCACAGCCAGTATCTTAGTGTCACACTGGAACGTGGGAGTCTGACTGTCTGACCTGCTCCGGAGAAAGGTCCCGTACATTCGAATGTCAGGGGCCAAGAGTCCACAGTTTTTTGCGACATCAACTGCGTGGATTTTTTCTTGGACACATTGTTCAAAAGCTGTGTATTCTGCTCCCGTGGAGGCCATTAATGCTGGCGTTTTTCACCTCTGCAGACCGAGCATGGAGCTCGATCAGGATTTGTGGAATAGCCTTGCGATTTAGGCGAATGTCCAAGAGAAGAGCTCTGCCGACGGAAGAACAACACTGTCGTCGGGCTGAGGTCAACTGCTTGTTCAGTGATACGCAATTCACTCAGTTTGATGTGCCGGTGCAAGCAAGGTTAGAAAAGAGTATTGGTGTCCTTGGCGATGTGGCTTCAACCTGGTAAGTTTCCTTGCAGAGGGCATCCATTTCTCGCTTCAGGCTGCGTTCTATACTGCATGCGGTCATCCTGGAGCCCGGCAAGTTTCTCATGCCTGGGCGCTGGCATGAGTTCAAGCACTTAGTTTCGAGGTATATACCACATTTGTTGCTTCAGATTGTACCAAGTGCCACAGACTGCAAAAATGTTCAGAATGGGTTGCTAAGTTGCCCGCAAATGGTTCCAGCTGCAAGCGCAGCAGAGGCTGCACTCGATTTGATGGGATCTAGAGAAGCAAGAGTTACAAACGTCGGTCAACACACACTAGATGTGTTTGCCTTTTGTGTATGAAGAAAGATATGACACTGAAACTAACTTGGCAGACATAAGACAGGGAGTTCTGTGTATCTTCCTGAGTTTACCTTCCTCGCGAATTCAACGCCTTCTTGCCGTGATAGGCTGAGTTATTGGCCACCCCGTTTGGACAGTTCCAAGCTTGGAACTTTCGAAGGAGCGAGAGCACGATTGCAAGCGTTAGTTGACCTGAGACTGTCCTGTGCCAGGACAATTTTTGTTCTTCTTGAAATTGGAATGCTATAAGAGTAAGAGTTTCCTCTAAAATCCTTCAAAAGATCTCGTGTGCATTTGAGCCAGGCCAAATTTCCACCCAGGATGTTAAAATACACTGATTACAATTTCGACATTGACTGACAGTTGGCTGTCCTACGCCTCTCAAATGAATGGACAACTCGTGAATTGCACGGGCATTTTAGCATGTGAGCTTGCTCTTTTAAGGCTTCTCACCGAGCTTTCTTGCTCGCCAAAAATGCCGTTTGATCCTAAAGCTCTTGCTTGTGTATTCTGAAGCAACAATGACACCATCTCAAATGTAGCCAAAAACATGAGGTTGTCACTCTCTGGCCGCTTGCTGGAGCTTGCAACATCCTTACAGAACTCGAAACTAGCCTTAAGTAATCAATCAATCAATCAATCAATCAATCTATCTATCTATCTATTTATCTATCTATCTATCTATCTATCTATCTCTATTCTTGCTAGTCCAAAATGATTTGCAAACTCTCTTTGGAACAAGATCATGTTGCATCATGTGTGCCCAGGCACTCGTTTTGGCAAACTCAGTAACATCTGACACTGTTGGAGTGGTTCTGTTTGCGATCCGGGTGGCTGCACGTCTGAGCCTTATATATATTGCTGAGCTTTCTTGGAATACCTCTGATTTGAGTTTGTTTGCCCTTTTCTAATGCGCAGGAGTGGAATCAGCAACATCACTGCTACTTCGAGCCCACAGCGGTGGCATTCGAGTGAGAAACTCAGAGTACGAAAAGCAGAATGCTGAGGCAGCTGTGCTGCACTGTTCTGAGAAGTCTTCTCCTTCAGCATGAAGGGTGCCATTTGAGTAAACACAATTTAACATCAGGTTTTGCATTTTGTTTGGACAGATTGACCCGCATCTTTTCAATTAGATTGCGTAAGAATCAGCGAGCACCTAGCCACTAGTCGATGCACCCAGTCCTCTCCCTTGCTGGCAGCATCGTTGAATATGAGTGAGTGACGCACTTGGACGAGCAGCTTCTGCCATCTTCCTAAGCATTGCTTTGCAATATGCATCCGTCACAACATTTTGGTTTCAGCCCTTGAGGAGTGTTCTTGGAGAACTCCGGGCAGGGAAGCAATACTTACGCCCCGGAGCCTGGACAAGCTTGTTTTCGGTATGCCTTTGTTCCACTGTGTTCCATTGTGTTAATCTTCTTTTGAACCCTTACGTATTCGTTGTTCATTATGTCCTTCAAGCTTTCGCTCCGATTTTGGCTTAAGCACTGTATCGAGAGTAGGTGTGAGGTTAGTGTGTGCCCCTTCCCAGGTCCAACAGAAATGTCCGAGCTAGTTGGAAAGCCTGCACCCGATTTCGAAGTGGAATTGGAGGATGGCAGCAAGAAGAAGCTATCTGAGTTTCTGGCCGAAGGAAAACCTGTGGTCATTGATTTCTACGCAAACTTCTGACCGGCTTGTGGACCTGCTGCTTCTGAGATGGACAAGCTGGCAAACGAGCACGAGAACGTGACTTTTCTGCTGGTCAATTTGAAGGGGATTGCTGATGGCCAAGCCTACAAGGCCGACAAGGGCTTGTCAAGTCCCAAGCTCATTCATGCAGCAGGCCGACCTCCTAACGAGTATGGCCTCAAGTACATCCCTCACAAGACTATCATCGGAAAAGACGGCAACATCATCAAGAACTTTGATGGCGTGAACTTGCCATCAGATGTCAAGAGCCTTTAGAGGAAAGCCTTTGCACAAAGTCCAAGTCTTGGGCAAAGGGCAGTGTTGCACCATGCTGTGCACGAGTGATGAATGCACCTCACATGTAGGAGCGTTCTGAGAGTTTGCAAGTGGTGCATTAGTGCTTTGCAGTCTAACTTGGCGTAGTACAGGAGCTTGCCCGAAGGCTGATGACTGAAATGAGAGATAAAAAATAGAACCGACGGCCCGGTATGCGCGGAGT